AAGACTTGTTGGAAGTTGATTGGATCATCTTCCTTCAAGCTTAAAATATTTTCATGCTCTTGAAGAAACACAATATAATCATCCGGAATTGCATTTCTCCTTTCTCTAGTGGATCTCCTTAATGGCACTTCTTGAGTTTGTTGAGTTTGTTCTATAGGTGGCATAGGGGGTGGTTCATTATTGTCTTGACCCAAAGCAATGTCAGGGACCAAAGCCTGTTCCATAACAATGTCATGAACAGGGACCTGATCATTAATTGCTTGTTCCGTAATTGCATCTTGTATGATGACAATATTAGGAAGAGTAATATAATTTTATTCCTCATCAAAGACAACATTCCTTATTTTATCTTACCCCCAAACTCAACATCCTCAAGGAATCTGGCATTTCCTGTCTCAAAAAAAAGATCTTGTAGTGGGATTATAAAACTTAAAGCCCCGAGAGCGTTCAACATATCCAACAAAATAGCAGATGATTGTTCTTGAGTTCAACTTTCTTTCATTTGGCCTATAAGGCCTCGCTTTTGCTGGACAACCTCAAATGTGTAAATGCCTTATGCTAGGGTTTCTTTCCATTCCATAGCTCATGAGGGGTTTTTGTCACTGCTTTGCTGGGAACCCTATTAAGGATATAAACTGCAGTCTTTAGTGCTTCTCCCCAAAGTGATTCTGGCAATGAAGAATGACTAAGCATACTCCTCACCATGTCTTTAAGAGTCCGGTTCGCCTTTCCGCAACACCATTCATGCTAGGTTTACCTGGCATTGTGTGTTGCGGGACGATTCCACACTCCTTTAGGAAGATCGCAAAGGGCCCTGGACGTTGTTCACCTGATCCATCAGATCTACCATAGTATTCACCACCACGATAAGATCTAATGGCCTTAATTTTCTTGCCTAACTGAAGTTCAACTTCAGCTTTAAATTCTTTGAACACATCCAATGATTGTGACTTCTCTCTAATCAAATACAGGTATCCAAATCTTGAATAGTCGTCTACGAATGTGATAAAGTATTGTTGACCATTCCAAGAGGCTATAGGAAATGGTCCACAAATATCCGTATGAATCAATTCTAAGACGTCTGAAGCTCTATTGGAACCTATTTTTCTTATGTTTGTCTGTTTCCCCTTTATGCATTCAATACACACCTCAAAATCATCTAGATCAAGGGGTTCAAGAATTTCATCAGTCACAAGCCTCTGAATTCTCTGTTTAGAGATATGACCTAAACGTTTGTGCCACAGAACCAGTACCAACAAACTAAAGTGAGAGTCATACCCTTCTTTTCGCGCCATGCCTTGTATTTGGAACACTCTTTCTTCATGTGTCCAGATTTCTTACAAAAGAAGCAGGTGAATTCCTGGTCCTGCTTCTTTTGCTTCTTTGGCAAAGCATCCGCATTATCCTTAGCTCTCTTTCTTTTCTTGTCTTGAGAGGTTGATGCCAAGTGAGCACTATTAGTCTTCTCTCGTTGTAACCTCTCTTCCTCTTGCACGCAGTGAGAAATGAGCTCAATAAGAGTCCATTTTTTTTTTGAGTGTTATAACTCACCACAAATTGACCGTATTTTATAGGAAGAGAGATAATAACTAAGTACATGAACAACTCAGAGGGTAGCTCTAACTTTAATGCCTTTAGTTTTCCAGCAAGATTAGACATTTCCATAATGTACTCCATTATGTTTCCCTTTCCTTTATACCTCATGTTTATGAGTTTGGACATGGTTTGACCAATTTTAGCCTTCTCATTTCGAGCAAAGTATTGCTCGAGTTCCTTCAGAAACAACTTGGCATCAGTAGTCTCAATAGTCGAGCCCTTAAAAGCCTCCGGAACGGAACGTTTCATGATCATCAAACACATGCGATTTGAGCGTTCCCACTTCTCAATTTTATCCGTGTTTGGATTTTCCTGAGTGGAAGTGGGTTTCTCAGTCCTTAGCGCATTGCCGAGATCCATGCAGCCGAGAACAATTTCCACATTCTCTTTCCACAGCTTGAAATTTGCCCCATTAAGCATTGGAAGCGTATTCACTTGAGCAACATAATTGGCAGCAGTAACAGAAACTGTCTCCAGAGAACAAAATAAGATAGCATACTAATAACATGTCATATCATATATATATTCAAACACCATCATAAATAAATTACACACATAATATAGACAAATAATCCGAAGTAAAATGAGTTTATTATAAGATACCTAGCACAACATTAATATTTAGTCTGTGGACAAAAATATCAACTTGTAAGTGGTACTCTTAATGTAGTAATCAAACATTGACAATAAGTCCTGTCAAATCATAGCCTTCTTGTGGGCCGATTATGAATTACATGGAGAATTCTTGATAATTGTCACATATTTATTACCACAGGTATGTTTGTTACTTGGCCAAATAATAACCTTCCTGTGGGCCGATCACTATCCGCATAAGCAATAAACACACACATGATCACACAACATATGTTATTTGGCCAAACAATAACCTTCCCGTGGGCCGATTATTATTTGCATAAATAAAATATATTTATATGACCAACCTATTTGAAATTAAATTAACCTTTATAAATTTGGCCACTGTGGCGGCTAACAAATCTATCATATTCAATTTCAAATAGAAACCTTTAAGGATAATAAACACATTTAAAAATAAAATAACAACAATAAAGAAAATTATTCTTTATCAATTCTCAATGTATATATATATATATATATACATATATATATATACATATTGTATCAATATATCATTATATCAATAACAATAAATACCTTTTCATTATAAGGCTTAAAAATTAATGCACAACCGACGCACATGTAAGCCTTTTCAAATGAAAGCTTGAAAATGATGCACAATACCCAAAAATTTAAATTTGGCTTTTGACAAAGAATATCAAATCTAAAAGAAAATCCCAAAACCAAAGACCTTAAACATTCGATTTCTTTCAAACTATAAGTCCAAAACATTCTAAGAGAATTCATTGCTCATTCAAAAAATTCAAACAACAAAACCTCATCGATTATAAAGCCAAAATTCTTCCAAACATTCCATCTATTCACAGATTCAAAATTTAAATAATAAACCCTTATTAAACTGCGAATCCTAGATTTTCTAAAAAATGTAGCTTTTGTTTCAAAACAAAAAAAAATCACCGTCAGGGAACAAAAATAACACTACATAGCTAATACAAAAAAATAAGATGGAACCCACGTTCAAAAATAATAATAAACTTTATGCCAAAAGACAATAAAGCAAAACTTTTCATGATTCATCATATATAAAAATCACAAAACTTAATTCCCTCATAATTCAATATGACGATGGCTCTGATACCAATTGTTGGAATTTTTAATTCCTCTAAACCTTTTGGTGATAACTATCACTACAAGCCAAGATCCATCATACCAAATCATAAAGAAATAAAAACATAAACGTGGAGGCATACCTGTCTCCATTGCAGCGGAATAACTTTGATCTTGTCTCTTGGGTTTGTAGTCTTCCTCAGTCAAATCACCCTAAAACCGAATTCCTTAGTGTGTCGTCTCTCTCTTGATGGGGAAGAGAAACTAGGGTTGTTGATTTGACGTCTTGGGGACCATAACCCTTATAGTGTTTTTATCTTTATTGTTGGGCTAATAAGCTTCCATTATACCTAGTTGGCCCAACACCGGTATCCACTCATTCAGCCCATACTCACTTAGGAATCTATTTGGGAATATTTAACTGATCACTTTAATTTACCCAATATATATAAATAGCACAATATAATTATTAATATAATATGTGACCCACAATAATTATTAGAAAATATAATTTCCTAACATTATCAACATGCCTTGATGGCGTTGCTTGATAAACAACACCATCTTAGGATAACCCTCCATCAAAGCCTTTTTCATTGCGAATCTCAAACTTTGAGGTCAAGAGAACACTCAATAGACCCAAAAAGCTTGGTAGACATAAAGAATACAGAAAGGTTTTTCGATTTTTATAAAGTAAAAGTAAAGATCGATTGTATGCAGCTTTATCCATGTACTTTTATAAAAAGACTATTTCTTAGAACCCATATTCTTTTAATCACAAAGAAATAACTTTACTATTGCTTCAAGACTCGCCCTCGTGCTCGCGTGTATTCTTTTCTCCAAAAGCTGAAACTATCCAATAAGGACATAACTCCCTATCACAAAAAGCTAAATAGGATTCCTCATGTAGACAAAGTGCTCAGGCTTCGGTCTGGCATGTGTTGAATCAGTAAGAGCAGGCCCAAGCGCATAAGTATTTTGCAAATAATGTAGTTGAATGGTATTTACTTGTTCTAGGATCTTTTAGTTTTTCCTTGAAACGTTGGATTTAGATATTACTTTGGGAATCTTTAATCGTTTCCAAAAATGACAGCAACATACCATTTTTTCTTTCTCTCAAAGAATCATATAAATAGAAGGTTGATTCCCTCGTATACACTTTGAATCGAAATAGTTTTACCAATTCCTCCGAAAAGTAAATTGAGGAGTTTTACTGAGATGGATCGAGTCAAGCTGGGTCACCAAGAGTTGATGAAATGGGTTTAAAATGTTGTATTGATGGACCAAAGGCAAAATGGGCTGCTAATATAGAGAATTTGGGCCAACAGGACTGAATATTGCTGATCCAACTGCCAATATCTTTTTATTATTATTTATATAAAAATTAAACGTATGAAATATAGTATAACCCACCCTACTCTTCAATATATCAAGTTAGCTGTGGTCACTATGGTTCTGTATTTACTGTTAGTTGGGTGAATTTAAAAACTGTGTTACTACCCTTTAGGGTACAATTAAGTATCCCCGCAGATTACTCAAATTTACAAAGTTAACTTTTTTTTTTGGAAAGCAACGTTAACTTCTGCACTTTTAACAGGTTCAAGTTAAACAACCCCAAGACCCAAAAAGCCAAAAAAAAAAAAAAAAATGTTAAACGGATACTCCTGATTCGTGACACACCTAAAAGGAAAGAGGTTGTCACCTAGCAAGATATACAGCTACTACACTGAAGTTGAAGAGATTTTTGAACCATTTCGAAAGATCCAGTGATATGATAGGTAAAAGCTCATGCCCAACGGTTCCAATCCCTGCAATAATGCTTGTATAACCTAACAGCTGCCTGCTTCTTTTAGGTACTGCACATCTCCTTTCCCTATCCTCTTGATAAGGATAAAGGAGGAGCAAAGAACAGATTCCAATGAGTAATGGAGTACTATATAGGTAGTGAAATTATTTACTATATTCATTCATTTATACACTTTGGATAACCACAAAGGCTTTCTGTTCTGGGAAAAGTTTTGCATTTCTGACTCAGCTCTCCTTATACTTTCAATGATGAGTTGAATTTTTGTGGACAGTTCCTCTGTTTGTTCCTCAACATTGTTTATGAAGCTGAGTAGTTTTTCTCGATATGCAGCACATAGTTGGTCTTGGCGCTCTAACTCCACAGTAAGTTCTTCAATCTTCTTATCTTTATCACCCTACAAGTAGAAGGAAAATTATCTTTTGAAACGCTAGAGATCCAGAGATCTAGTAAAATTGGAAAAGGAAATTGAAAAATAATATCATAAAAGAAACAAACAATAAAAATTTAGTAGAAAGTCAAAAAAAGGTTCTACCTCACAAGAATTCATTCTAGAGAGACCAAGAAGTCGAGATCATACGTTTAGCTTTCTTTTATACCAAAATACAGGAGTTGTTTATACCTTTATGTACGTAGCATCGAATTTAATGCAATAGAGCATTTAAAGCCATCCGCAATTACATCCATTACTTCCCAAATATCCACCCCCACGTTTTATATAAGAACATTTGGAGTAAAGCAACAGTTTGGCTTTGTGAACTTCTTATTTGACTATTTAGCTTTTATTATTAAATTCTGTTTACTTGAAAGATAAGCCATCTGGCCCATCTCTACCTCCTTGCACATGAAACACCAACAACAAACATAATCATTTACAGCACGTTGAAAAAAAAAATCTTTCAACCAAATAAAAAATAAAGGAACAAGATCTTTATAATATTATCTAAACTTACATATGGTATTTCCAATTATCTAAACCCACGTAGATCTTTTATTATTACTTAACTGAGAACAACCAATGGAACAACCATTTATCTTACTCAGAACCAACTTATAGGCAAAGTCATCCTACTCATGTCCGATAAGCCGAAATGAACAACAAAAAATAAATCGGTAAACTGGGAAACAAGCACCAAAAAGTGAAGATGTCTGCATCATCTCTTCATTATTCCTGTTCTCCAAGATATGTACCAAACAAACCCAATGAATATGAAATATAACTGACCTTTAGCTACAAAGGATCATGTTTTCTAGCCTATGTAGTATTAATGTTCAATCCAAACAATCAAAAGCTACATAAGTAACTCCATAATTCACCCACCACCAAGCATTCTCGTAATGAAAACTTCACTATGAATGAAAATACACTCAACAAATAGATCATCGCAACAGATTTGAATATCAAAATGGCCAGGTAGCACTATAATTCGAGAATGAAAAACTCATTGCTCATGTAGATCTCCTAGCCATCAATTGGTAACAGTCAAGATCCAACGCAACCTAAATCAAACTTCTAATCAATTGGTCAAAGGGGCTACGATAGCATTTCAATAATCAATCCAATTTACAAGGTTAAATTGTTAGGTGGAACCGTGGAAGGACATCATTGCAAAGATTTAATACACTTCACAACCTATTACCAATGTGTGTATGTGTGTGTCCAACCACAGGGCTTCAGGTAGGACACCTAAGTCTAATTTTCTCCTTTTCCAATAAATTTTCTACTGCCATAAAAAATAAGAAATTCAATCATATATTATGAAGGGCCAGACATCCAACCCAAAATTAGAATATGGGTTAAATAGTTTCTATTTTACTGTCATCTCAAGCTTGATTTCAATTGAAAGCCTCAGCATTAAACATGGCATCTCATATTTAAAAAAAAAAAACCAGCCTTACCTTTGCATATTTGTAAAGAGATTGTTTCCTAGATTCAAAATCATAACTTTTTAGTCACAAAGGAGCAGTTTTACCACTGCTCCAGGCTCGCCCTCTTTTACATGGCGTCTCATATTAATAGTAATTAAAAAAAAACCTTCTTGGTCATTAAGAATTTCCTTTTCAAGTGGCATAAACGTTTATTTTTGGAAGAGCTGGTTATTACTATAATACCATTCCCTACATTTGATTATTATACAAATTTCCCAAAAATTCCACACCTGTAAATATCAAATCAGCAGCATTTCTGAATAAAAGAAACCAGGGAAGAAAAATACTCCAATAACAGTTACTTTTCTTTGTCTAATTTATTAGGTTCTCTATGATATTTTATATGGTATCAGAGCTTCGTGTCCCGAGTTCGATCCTCGCTGCCCCCCACTTTCTATCAAGTGGAATTTCTTTGTTCGCACAGGTAGGTGGGCCTTTATAAGGCCTTGGGCACTCCCACCCTTTGAGCTAGCTTTTGGGGTGATGTATCCCAAGGTTCTTTACATGGTATCTATATGCTACAGCTTGAGGGGGAGTGTTAAGAGTGTTAGTGTTAATAGTGTAGAAGTCCCACATTGAGTGTGTCTCTTTGTATTCTTCAATTGGTTTGCTATATAATAGCACCAATGTTGTGTAGTTTAATATAACAAGGATTACTATCATTTCCTCTTGTATCTATGATATTTAACAGGTTCTAACACAAAATAAATTTCTAGACTTCAGCAATTTTACAAAACATTTGCTGAGACTTTGCAAGATCCAAATAAACAATCATAAAAATTAGCAAAAGCACAAAGCGATGTCTCAGGTTAGGAAAGATATTAACAAAACCTATTGAAATGATTATATCCAGCAATAAGTTATCAGCAGTTAAGTCCACACGTCTTGTATGCACAAATTCACAAACTCACTTGCAAAGTAGACCCATGAAAAAAAAAAGCGCGTCTCTATTGTATGCAACAATTTATATCTTACAAACAATGTAGATCTACCTCAACAAGTGGAAAGCTATAAGAAACGATTGCAGAAATATTTAAATGAGCAGAAAACTAACCTCTGAGCTAAACCCATTAGCTGTAGCAATTAGAGGATGGTTGTGATCCTTTATAAATCTTGTAACAACCCATTTTCCAGATTTTTCCAATTTCACCAAAATTGTTGCCTTGCAACCTTCTCGGGCACTTAGTCTAGGCTTTTTCTCTGGCCCAAACGTTCCCTTGTTATTTGGGGAGAATCCTTGTTTGTTACATCCAAGTCGGCGAGCAAGAGTCCTCCCATCAATTCCCGAACGTCGACGTTGCATAATGCGTACAACAAATCCTACCCGTCTAGCATATTCAACATAAAATTTCCTGGCAGTTTCTTCAGAGTCAAATTCCATTCCCACATATGGCTCTTGAACTTCAATTCCATCAACTATACTTATACTCTCTTCTAGACAGCTATGTTCTGCTCCATTTCCGTTGTCCAAATCCACTACCACAAGATCCATAAAAGTCTGTCCATGTCATGTCATTAAGATAAGCATTTTCAAATAGTCATGGTGTTTGATTTATAAAATTCAGTTCTTTAAATTAGTAGATGCATAATCAATCCATCAAAAGTATGTCAAACAAATTCGGAGAAAAACAGAGAATAAGTCCTAGTGCACATATATTTAATGTTTACTGAGTTTAGAAAAACATAAAATTTAAGTGTCTCCAGGCTATTGAGATATTTATTATCAGCTAGACCATAGAAAACAGAATCTGTGTGACAGTAAAATGAATTACATTTTAAAGAAATCGAGTCAAGTTCATATATGATACTACTAGTATATTGTATAGATAATAATAGTGCCAGCGGAAGATTAAATGGCTAAAACTACTAAGTCATAACTGTTAGAGAAGTATACAAAAACCATTAATGTAGCCTCACCCAACAGTTTAAGCTTTTAGGTTGAATTGGTTCTTTACATAGTATTAGACCTCGATGTCACAGGTTCAATCCTCACCGCCCCTACTTTCTCTTGTGGAATTTCTTGGCACAGGTAGGTGGGCCTATGCATTATCCACCCTTCGTGTCCAGTGGCTCTCGTGTGAGGGGGCATGTTAGAGAAATATATAAACCACTGATGAGCCTTCACTTAACAACTTAAGCTTTTGAGTTGAATTGGTTCTTTACAATAACAAATTTATCCAATGTCGATTCTCCCATTCCAGCCCATCCATCCCCCTTATTAGAGAAATATAATATAAAATCATTAATGCTGCAATTAAGTTGTTAGGTTAAATTAGTTGTTTTACATGATATTAGAGTCTTTGTAATCGAGTGGTCACAAGTTCGATCCTCATCACCCTCATTCTATTAACAAATAATTAAATATTATGGAGTCACTTCCCCCATTTAGGTTGAATTGGTGCTTTACATCCACATTTCTCTTTGGGGATGACAAGACCAAGGAACTTTAATAACCAACAAAGGAACTTACATAAATTGCCAATACACACAAGTACACAAGGTTTCTATGAACTTCTAAAAGAAATGATAAAAACTAAGCCTGTTAATCCAAAGAACCATGGAATCAAAAGTACAGAAATGCAAGTTGTTTTCATTAATTTACATTATCTAAACAGAGGACATAATTTAATGTTTTGTGATTTTCATTTTGTTTCTCTTCTTCAAAATTTTGGGGAACAAATTTCTTAATATGCTACAGCTTACAAGCTTTTCTTTCTCTTGATACTCCTGTGCCTCAACTTAAAAAACCCAGGATTGATTGTATGATAACTAGTCAGTAGGCAAATTATTCCGACATAAATTCTGCCAGCCAAGCCCTAAGCTGAGCATCCCATTTGTCCAGTTGAAGCAAGCTTACTTATGGGTGGTCATGGACTCATATCAAGGTTCGACAAGATACCACGCCTGTCCGTATTCCTTCTCCACCTAAGAGTCTATAGATTAGAAACCCTGTATTTGCCAGCTCATCATGATTAACAGCTGTGAATAGAAAGGGGACGATACATTTCTACCTTTTCTACCAATTAAGTCATGATTTTTCAAGCCAATGCACTTACAACCTCGATATTATTATTTGAAACACTTAATGTCATAATTGATTGTAGATCAATATGCCCCGCAAAGTAGCAAGTTATTCTGCAAGCCTCATTAACTGGTAGAACAAGGGAAGGAATTGACAATCGTTATTATATTGGGAAGAAAAAGAGACAGGAGGATAACACTCACAAAGAAAGACACTGGCTGATAGAGCTCCGAGGGCAAGCCCTTTACAATGAGATTAATCTCACTCACTAGAAGATAGCTATATAACTGACTGACTATTCTCGTAATTGAGTCGTCTATATATAGACTATTATTGACTCCCTGCAGACTCAGATCAGCCTCATTTTGCCAGTATTACCTCCTTCCATAATCTACCAATTATTAGGTCGATTTGCTCCCCTGCAAGGACTCCTTATTCAGCCTTTTTTTACATCCTTCCAAAAACTATCAATTCCCCCATTTTAGCCTTTGTTCCGTTATCATTCAAATCATCCCTATCATAACATATATGAAAAAATTGGTTATCCACTTCTGAAGATTCATACCAGCCCAAATTATGGGAGACCAAAAAGGTAGGTCTAATTAGTAACACTTTACATAAATGTGGATTTATCTTGCCAATTCAAATAGTTGGGTTTAGTATCTAAAACTTTATCAAAAGTGAGTAAATTAAAAAGGCAGGGATCATTCCATGTTTGCACCATCATGGAGTTGACATTGAAATGATACAGGTAATGATTGGAATACTTCAAAGTATATTTGAGCAAGGTTGATGAGGCCAATACTCTTTCCTTTCGGAAAAAACATTTCGGCATGGTTATCCCAGAAAACAACATAACTGATTTCATGCAAGCCAAGGCTGAAAGTTGACCTGAAAATCCGAATCTATTATATATTCATGTGTTTGAATTTATAAGGAATTGTACCAAAAAGAAAGTTCAGAATTACAGTCGTGAAATTTGAGATAAGCCCTAACAGAACCACTATGCAACAAGAACAACTGATGTCTAGCAGATATTTAGTTATATATTTTTATCGAAAAATAAATTGATTAAGAAAAAGAGAAGAAAATTACAAGAAAATTGGAGGATAAGGGATCATCCATAACATAAAGAAAAAAAAAAAAAAAAAAGGGGGTAGAGAAGAACATGACCAAAACCCAAAATCTCCACTTCATACTGTAACCAAACCCAACTTAATGTTTTAAATTGCTTGGATGGGCTGAGTTAAAAACTATTTAAGAGAAATATTTATTCTTCACAATCTCCCACATTTCAACTTCTAAACTTATCTTACCACAAATTACAAAATCCCCAAACCCCATAGTCATTTTGTTCAGGCATGGACCTTAACATCTAAAGCCTGCCACAAATCTCTCATACTTCATCATCTTCTAAGATGCACTCATGCTCTGCCTCTATTATAACACATGCCACACTCTTATGTTCTTCGCAAATACAATTAAATAGAAAAGAGGAAAAGCAATTTATTAATTTATTTATTTTGACAAAAGCCAATTCTAAAATCTTAAGAGACCGTGAAAAAAAAAAAAAGTCTTTTTGACTAAGAAATATCATAACACGCACATATATATGTATAAGGGCTTCCCTATTAAGAGACCATGGTTGGTAAAGTGCAGAAGTTGCAAGAGTAAAAACTGTATAAGTTGTTGTTTGCGTTCTTGAAAAATAAAAAAACTCTGCAAAGAAAAAGCAAAATAAAACAAAAACAGAGATTGCGTAACTTACTGTGAAACAGAAGAGGGTGCAAGATTTGGATCTTTTCACTGTGTCACGTTTTGTCGATTGTTTGGAGCTAAGTTAGAAATAGAAGAAATCGGAAGGAACTACGAAGAGAGAAAATGATCTTGTATTATTGTCTTTTGTATCGTATGAGCATTGTGTAAGAATGAAACGAAGGTTTTCGGAATTCTGTTTCGGTGCAGCCCTTCTTGTGGGAACCAATTAGAAGTTGACACGTGCGTGTGTTAGCCGGGCCCACAACTTCTTTCAATTTGCATTTGGGAAGTGTTCCAAATTTTCTATTCCCTCTTGATTGATTGAATTCGTTTTGTGCCCATTATTACTTGGGTATGCTTCATAAGAATTGGAAATCCAAAATTTAAAGTGGAGCTAGATTACACTAGCAATAGAGGTGGCAAAGTCGGTGGATGCATTGTTGTTAAAACGTAGTGTCGAAACGTACGTTTTAATGACCAAAAATGTGTCAAAACAGATTTTGGATCGAAACGATTGAAACGGCGAGTCAACTCGGTAAACTCGGTTGACTCGGCGACTTTACCGAGTTGACTCAGTTTTTTTTTTTTAAAAAAAAAATAAGGGTATTTTTGTCAAATCACGTCATCCCCAACTTAAAACAAAAAAAAAAACCCTACCGCTCATTCATCCTTGCGTACGCGTTGCTGACTGATGAGTTCCTGCTGGCTTGCTTTTTCCGGTTTTCCCCAAAAACAAAAAACGTGCTGCTTCTTCAGTTCTCCTTCAACAAGCAAGGTATTCTTCTTCTTGTTTCTTCTTGCTTCTTGCTTGTTGCGTCTTCACTCTTCAGAGCACATTCTTCTTCTTGTTTCTTCTTCAGAGCACGTTATTTCTTGCTCATTTTTCTTTGCTCCTTTTTTGCTTTTGTACAGTACCGAGTTTTCTTAATAATAGAAGTATGGGTGATGTATCCTCTTCAAATCTAACACGCCACCATCTTTTCATACTGATATTAATAATTTAATATAGTTGAATATTCAATATTGAATTTTTATAAATTTTTAATTTTTAATTTTTTAATTTTAATACAGATCTAGTTTTTTATTTATAATAAAAGAAATATTGGATTTCCTAAAGTATTTGATATTGTTTGAAAGTAGAAATATTTGACTGTCTTTAATTTTTATAAATATTATTGAAAGTAGAAGTATTTAATTTAAATTCAAATCTAAACAATGTTTTATTGTTTTGTTATTAAAAATGATCCAAATTTAATTTACACGTATGTTTCACTCTATGTAACCACTGATAATTTTATTCCAGTAAAGTAATAGGAAGATTTCAATTTTATTGCATGATGTGGAGCAAAACAGAAAACTAAATTCAATTTTATTGTAATGACTTATATATTGGTATGTTTTGGTTATATATATATATTGGATATATTTTATTTTTTTGGTATGGAGTAAACTCTTACGTTTCGTTTACGTTTCTCGATTTTACGTTTTTGCTTCCCCCTACCGTTTCAGCGTAGACTCTACGTTTTAACAACATTGGGTGGATGGCTGCCTTGCTCCATTTTATTTGGGAAGGAGGGATGGGTGGTCTATCGGGCTGATATCATTTCATATTGAAAAAAAAATTAAATAAAAATTTCAGTCCGAGCAAGCTAGCGGATAACGAGTTTGAAAAACTAGACTATCTCGTCTCGTTTGGTGGGCAAGGCGGGCGGACCCGACGAGTCGAGTCCATTTTGCCACCTCTAAGCAGCAGTAGGTATTTTTATAGTGGCAAAATGGGTCCATGGTCATTAGTTTGAATGGGGATTTCCAACCCATTTTAACTTATCCGTTTAAGGGCAAATCAAAACGGGTTGACCTGTCAGGTTAATTTTATTTTATTTTTTTATTTTTCTAAAAGACCATTTATCTCCATTTGATACTTTTTCCACATGGATAATCGAATTTTTGAACAAAACTTTATTTTTTTAATATGTTGGCTAGTTGATGGAGCAGGTTATCCGATTTGCCATCTCTAGGTACTTTTTTATTAAAAAAAATGAGATATAGGTGACAATAATCATAAAAAAATGGGTAGAATAAATAAATAAGTTATATTATTTTTTTAAAATTTAATAAAAGATACACCAAATCTTCGATACTATGAGAATTTTAAAAATATTTTTAATTTGATTGAGTTACTGATTAGACCAATCCAAGATAGGTTGGGCCTAATTATACACGGTTGAAGGTTGAAAACTTTGGGCTAAGTATCATAAACATGGGCTTGAGATTATTTCTGTATGTGTAAAAGTTGTCGAATGATTCCGGCGCACTGGGGGATACCTGCAAAGACACTCCGACGCTCAAGTCAGTATCTATGTGAAAGAAAAATGGCCTTGAAGGCCGATGGCATGTGAGGATGAAAACAAAAAAATTTCAAAGCGAAATCACACATGCTAATCAAGATACATGCTTTAAGACAGTTTGATGTACCTTGTTCGTGATTCAAAACTCCAAAATGATCAGTGTTAGGTTTGAAGGTTCAAACCCTCTAACGTTGATCCACACCACCCTATGTCAAGATGCAAGAACCCTTCTTGAAAAGCCACCAAACGAACACCACAAGGAAGGAACTTTAGGCGTCCCAATAGGAGAAGAAGGAGGCAAGGTTAATGTATTTAGATAAGTGAATTTTTCAGCATGAAAAACTCACAAAGTGGCGCATGGATTCTATGGGAAAATGCTAGGTAATTTTCGAAAAACCCTAAAGAGAACCTCACAAAAGGAAGCACACTTGGAGATGAGAGAATGATTGAATTGAATCAGATTTTTCTCCCAAAAATCTGACCTATGTAGCGCACAATGGTGGAGGAATAAGTGGAGTTGTTGCAATTCAAATCTAGCCAACAACCTCCTATCGTATCCTCATGAGACTAAGTCTACACCTAGTCAAAAATCTGACTTAATAACCATCATATGGCCAGCCATATGGTGCGCCCTTCTTCAGCCCAAAAAGAGTCCAAATACATTGAGTAGTTGTATTCAAATTTGAACTAACTCACTCACTTATTCTCTCAACCAACCAAATCTGATTGGAGCTTATTTGGTTGATCATATGACCATCATAAGACCCCAAAATCAGCGCCCCAAATCAGCCTTGGATGATGCCCAAAGATCTCCTCTTGATACTTGGGATTTGTTCCAACAAGATCTTATCTTATCCTTTTGTTATGAAACAACTTTTCATAGCCAATTCAAATTCGAATTCAAACATTTAAATTCAAGCGTTCAAACATTTAAATTCAAAATTCAAATTCAAAATTTAAATTCAAAATTTAAATATTTGATAATTAAATTAATTAATAATGTCTTGGACCATCCAAGCCCATTACATGTACCATGCGCCCTTTCCCTCTTAGGTGGGCTTCCAAACTTCTTCTTGGGCTAACAACCTTTATTAGGCCCAATACCTTTAATGTTATATTCATCAAGACAATAAGGTGTTAGTGTGTGACCCATTAGGCCCAACATAGCCACTGACATAAATGGGTTTGGGCCCAACAAGCCCACAACTCATTTAATGACAACACAGAGCACTAACAATGCTTTGTTTCCCCAGAGCTAGTTAGGTTATTGACATGATCATCCTATTACATATATTTGGTTACCGTATTTATTTCATTTCGTCTCGG